CGCGCACCTGTGCCACCTCGCGACCGCCCTGCCCCGGCCGCCGCAGCACCAGCCATGGCCACCCCGCCCAAGAGAAGCTGCCCGTCTCCCGCCACCAGCCCTGAGGGGACCCGCATCAAGAAAATCTCCATCGAAGGGAACATCGGTAAGGAGCCCCCGGAAATGTCGGGCGCAGAGCGGGGGAGGCGCGGCGGCGGGCGGCGGCGCCTGCAGCTCCTCCTCGCTGCGTACCCGAGTGAGCCTCAGCGCTCTCGCTGCCCTGGCGGTGTGGACGCGGCCTCTGCCACCGTCCCCAAAGCATCCTTCCCTGCCCTCCCCGCCCGGCGCCCGAGGTGGCGGCGGCCCCTGGCTAAGACCTAGCGCCAGGCCTGAGGGCTTCGGGTCGCGCGCTGTGGGCCAGTGCACCCTCTTTGTTGAGAACTCACAGACGGGAGAGCTTCCTAGGTGTCCGATTTTTTGACGTTAAATTCACCCTTTTTAGGTGGATCCTTCTGTGAGATTTGACAAGCAATGCCGTTTTACCAGCTCCACGGTTAATATAACGAACGTTTTTGTCACTTCCAAAAGTTTCTAAGTGCTCTTTTGTAGTCATCGCCCTTCTTTCTTCCTCTGGCAACCGCTGATGGCATTTCTATACCTGCAAAGCGCTTCCTTTTTTAGAATATCGTATAAGTGGAATCACAAAGTGTATAATAGTCTTGTGTCTAGTCATTTGTTTAGCATAATGATTTTGAGAGTCATTCGGGGTTACTTGTTTCTGCAGTTCCTCTTTTATCCACTAAGCAGTATTCCACTGCATCGATTTAGGACATTTGTTTCCCAATTGTGAACATTCAGTTTGTTTCGATTTTGAAGTTTTGGGTTTTTTTTTGGTATAGGGCACATGCACTCTCTGGAGAGAGAGGGACAGAGACACAGAAAGCGAGAAATCACCCTCCCCCCCAGGGGGCTTAGCCACACTATATTCCTTTCTCCTCCATTCTCTCCGGATTTTAGGTACTCAGCACATGCGTTTGGTGTATGTTTCAAGCCTCCGGGTCTGGGACTTCAACCAGGGTTGATCGTGTGGGGGAGTCCGGGGACATAACCATTACAACCATCCGCTGGTCCTTTGTTTTCAATTTTTATTGATTATTAATAAATATTTGAGTACAAAGAGATTTTTGTGTTTGTTTTAGGTTTTTGCCATAGGGAATGGGCTCTCTCTGGAGAGAGACAGAGACCGAGAGAGGGAAAGTGAGGAAATCACCCTCACAGGTGGGGCTGCCCACTCTAAAATCCTGTCTCCTTCGTTCTCTCTTGGACCCTTGGCACACTGGCACATGTGACCGGCAACCGTTGTGAGACTCAAGCCTCTAGTCTAAGATGCCAAGCGAGGTCAGCCATATGGGAGTCTAGTGCTTTAACCACCACATCACCTGCTGGCCCCAGAAAGAGGTTGTTTTGTTTTGTTTTGTTTTGTTTTTAGCTAGGGGATGGGTGTCCTTGCCGAGAGAGAAAAGAGAGAGAAAGAAATCATCCCCCGGGGGGATGACCACGCCACAATCTCTTCTCCATTCTTCTCCTGGGAATGTGGGCGCACATGCACATGCACCTGGAATGATTTTCAAGCTTCCAGGTCGGATCACAAACCACGGTCCACCTTGTGGGAATCCAGGGACTAACTTCTACCTCCTACCCATCTCCTGGCCCCCAAAAAGAGGTTTAGTTGTTTTTTTTTTTTTCTTAAAGAGATTTTTGCTATAAAGGTGTGTGTGCTCACCTAGAGACTGAGACCGAAACTGAGAAATCATCCAAGGGGGAATGGCCATGCTGCAATCCCGTCTCTTCCATTCTCCTGTCGGGATTTGGGCGCACCAACACACATGCCCAGCATGAGTTTTAAGCCACCGGGTCCAGAACTCAAACTGCAGTTGGCCACATCAGAGTCCAGCAACATAATCATTACACCATCCGCTGGTTCCCAGAAAGGGGTTTTTAATGGCCTTAGTAATGTGGAGTTCCTTTCCCCTACCCTGCATCCAAGTTATGAGGTTATGATTTAAAGATTATTAACGTTTCCATTTTTAACCCAGATGGGGCAGACTGCACCATGCATGTTATTTTGGAAGATACATATGAACTTCTCATTCTTCTATAGTTTCTACTACAGGAGACCTACCCCGGATGCTTCCTGTTTTGCTAAAATAGATTTTTTTTTTTTTTGACTCCAGGTTAGATACCGGCCATCCATGCATATAGCAATTTTTAAAAAAATTCTTACCATATTCAAAGTATGGTACCTGCTTGAAAAAGTCAGGCAAGCCTTTAAGCGTTCAAAGAAAACTACTGAACATGCCCTCAAAGAGGATTTATTTCATTGCTCAGGTATGAAGGCACCAGTGGAAAAGACCCATACAATACAGATCCTTGGTTCCTCTTAGCAGTATAAATTCTTTGAGAGTGCATGTTTATTGGTGTGATTCCCCACAGCTGCTTACTAGATACAGAAAACCATGTGTAAAGGGAGAGAATATAAGAGTTGAACAAAGCCATCTCCAAAGTAAATTTAAATGAACAGCCCCTCAGTTCAGTACTGCAATAGATTAGTCCCCTCTCCTCTCTTAAATCAGTTAGGCAACATATATCTAGAAGACTCCTTTCCCTCAAGCATTTGTTTGTTGGTTTGTTTTTTGTTATAGAATGTATGTATTGCTCACAGCAGAGAGATGAGAAGTGAGAAATCACCCTTCCCTGCCTCTGGAGGGATGGCCACTCCACAATCCCCTTAAGTCCCCAGCATGTTTATTTTTTTCAGTTTGCCAAGTCTGGGATGAAAACTGCTGAGTTGGGCCATTTGGGATCCAGCTGTTTTAACCTCCGTGCTCCTCCTTGGTGGCCCTCCTTTAAGCATCTTTACTCTTCCCAGTACTGGAAAAATTTCCTAATATATCACCTATCTCCAGATTTCCTAACTTGTTGCAGCTCAGTCTTGCTGTGTAAACATAAAATCGTGTTATCTCCACCTTAGAATTCCTCATCGACCTCACCCTTACTTACACAGAAGGGGGTTGCCAACTGATGGCCTGTATTTGCACAGTATTTGCCTATGCAGATATGAAAACTCGAATTGGTTGCTAGATTTTAAAATTTTTTGAGATTTCCCATAGACATTTAATTTCTTGACATCTTTTATGAAATCTGAAAACCTGGTAACCCTGGGCTTGCATTTCTGTGTGACAAGACAGAGCATGTTTCTTGTCATCTATTGGACCCTGACACTGGGGCTTTGTCAGTTACTGTTTATTATTACTCTTACACTGTTCATGTCCTTGCCTCCTTATTTGCCAGATCCAAATGAGCTATAAATGTACAGATTGTTTATATATTGAAGACTTTGTGATTCCTCTATTTATCCAAGAATTTGAATTTTACCTAGTCATTTTAGTTTTTTACTCACATAACTCCTCTTCTCGTGTTCTGTGTTGCTAAGGTATTCCCTTAATAGAAAATGCACAGAGGCCTAACCTTCTTCTTACTTTAGTAGTCTGCAGGATGACTGCTTGGCATTAGAAATTGTTAGTTCTCAGGACTTTTTTTTTTTTTTAAGCTTAGGCCCTGATAGTAATAATATTAGTGCATGAAATCTTTTTGAGTTACAATCTGCTGGGCTCAGGCCTTTAACAATATCTGCTGGCCATGTGGTTTCCGTGCCACCTGCTGGCCCTGTTCTTGTGACTTTTTAAAAGTCCTAATGTCGGGCTGGCAGGTGATATGGTTAGGGCACTGGACTCCCACATGGCTGACCGCTGTTCACATCCTCAACTTGGTGATTTCTTGCTCTCTCTTTCTCTCTCTAGCTCTTTGGCAAATTAAAAAATAATAGTAATAGCAAATGAAATTTAAAAATAATTATTAAAATATAAAAGTGTTAATGTCAGCATCCTTGGTTCTTATTCTTTGCCTTCATAGAATATTAATTTACTAATTAGCTGATTTTCTAGTTCTCACTTTCTCCCAAAGTCGAGAAACTGAATATTAGTTCAATTGGGAATTATAGCTAATTTGTTATTCTGCTTGAACCAAATATAACTACTCCTTTTTAAAGTTTTTTGGTCAGAGGGTGTGTATGCATGTGAGAGAGAATGTTCCTTGACAAGGGTGGGTTATACAGCAATTCATTTTTTCCTTTGTTTCTCCATCCTGCCAGGATCCTGGGCACATGTGCATATACCTGATTTGATTTTTTAAGCCTCTATGATGGGGATTCAGGCTGCAGTCAACAACGTGGTATCCCGCTCCTTCTGCACAGTGTTTTACTGCAGTTCTCTGGAACTGGCCCCTATTACTACTCTTAAAAGCATGACCACATGAACCTTTTCTGCTCGTATGCAGTCAGAAGAAAGTGGAATGCTCTGGCTTAACTGTTTGCAGGATCTCACTGACACCTGATTTATTTTTTCTTTTTTTTTTAAGAGAGATTTTTGCAATAGGACTCATATGCTCACTTGTAAGACAGAGAGAGACAGAGACAGAAAGCAAGAAATCACCCCAACTCCCCCGCCCTTGTCTGAGGATGGCCATGCTGTAATCCTCCTCCATTCTCCTCTTGGGATTTTGGGCATGCATGCACATGCACCTGGCGTGAATTTAAGCTGCTGGGTCTGGGACTCGAACTGCCATCAACTATTTGGAAATCTAGCAACATAACCATTAATCTGTCTGCTGAGAGGTTTTTGCTATAGGGCGTGCGCACTCGCCAGAAAGACAGAGAGAGACAGAGAGATAGAAAGTGAGAGATCACTCCCCAGGAGGGATGGCCATGCTGCAATCCCTTCTCCTCCATTTTCCTCTCGAGATCTTGGGCACACACGCACATGTGCCCAGCGTGAGTTTAAGCCACCAGGTCCGGGACTTGAACTGCAGTTGACTACATGGGAGTTCAGCGACATAACCATTACGCTAACTGCTGGTCCCAGTGCATGATTGATTTTTTAACATGTTCTCTTCTGAACATGTCCTTTCCCTCTTCCATCTAGCTCAGTGAATGTTTGCTGACCTATTTATGTGCTTCCACTTACTATTCTAAATGCTTTATAGTTCCTAATCTTACCTTCTCCTTACAAAATTTTGGTTACTAGTGTTTTTTCTGTGATTCTTCCCCCCCACCCCTTTAAGATTTTTGCTATATGTGCTTGCCAGAGGGACAGAGAGGGGCAGAGACAGAGAAAATGAGAAATCACCCCCCTGGAGGGATGACCATGCTGCAGTTCCTTCTCCTCCATTTTCATGGGATTTTGGACATGCACACACATGTTCCCACTGTGGGTTTCAGGCCATCAGGTCCAGGACTTTAAGCGCAGATTGCCATGTGGGAGTCCAGCACCTTAACCACCATGCCACCTGCTGGCCCTTTAAAAAATTTTTTTAATTATTTTTTTTCTTTATTCCTAATAGAGCTTATGTGTGAACATTAAAGAGAGGGAAAAAGAGAGAGAGAGAGACTCTACACAAGTCTGGTCACTCTGCAATCCACTTCTTCTAGCCCTCCAGTCCCTCAGATCTTGGCCACTCATGTGCATACTCCCATGTGTTCCAGGCTGGGGATTCATACCTCTGTTACCATGTGGGGTACGACTTCTCTCTCTCTCTCTCTTTAAATAACTTGCCAGAGGGTAGTGTGCTTGCCACAGAAAGAAAAAGCACCCCCCAGTGAGATATCATGCCAGAATCCCTTCTGCATTTCTCCATCCTGTTGGGATTTTAGGCACATATGCATGTGCACCTGGAATGTTTTTCAAGGTGTTGGAGCCAGAATTTGACCCATAGTTGGCCGTGTGGGATCTGGCACCCTTAACTAGTAGGTCATGAGGCTGGCCTGGGGATCCAGTTTCTCTTTAAGTAGTGCCTTACTATTATGCCATGGAGCTGGCCCTTCCCAAAATTAATTCTAATAATCATCTTTTATCTTTTATATCCTGGGAGGATGGCCATGCTGCAATCCCTTTTCCTCCGTTCTCTTTTTGGGACTTTGGGCAGGCAGGCATGCATGCTCGGCAAGAATTTAAGTCTCCAGGTCTGGGATTCAAACCATGGTCAACTACGTGAGAGTCTAGCGATGTAACCATTATGCCATCTGCTGGTCCTGTTCTGTCTATTAAGTTTTTCTCTTCTCCTCTGGAGATGATAAGACTTTCGTGTTTTGTTTCTCAACTATTCTGTGTTAACTTCTTAGTTACTGCCTCCCTCCTACAAAGTTCTTCCAGTTTTCTATTGCTCTATATAATGTCCTAGTTTGAATCTAGTTCTCCAGGTCAAATCTAAGTTCTTTTTGCTCTCCTTGGATCCCATCTGTGAAGCTTTGCTTGTAAATGTATTGAAGTTATTTAGATGTTCGTGTGGGCGGGAGGGAATGTTATGATAACCAGACATGTCCAATACAGCCACACTTGGTGACTTCAGATAGAAAGGGTGTGTGGGCATTAGGGGTATCAATATGTCCTGTAATTCTAGGCCAAGAATATGTCTACTACTAAATGTAATGTATTCCTGGGTAATATGAAAATAGTGAATATTTTCTTTTTGCACTAATATCTCTTTATTAGCCAGTGACTAATAAAGGAAATGTAAAGAACATACTTTTTTTTTTTTTTTTAAACTTTTATTTCCTTAGAGACAGGTACCCTTGACTGGTTTCATCCTGCTGTGATCTCCCTACAGTCTTTCAAGGAGTCATGATCACGGACATGCCCGGGCACCACTGGTTGTTCAAGTGGCTTCAGGATCTAAACCCAGGGCCTTCCCTTATGGCTCTAGTATCATGCAGCTGCGTCCTGCTGCCTTGCCTGTGCTTGCCGCCTTCTTCTCCTTCTCCTCCTTCTCCTCCTTCTCCTTCTCCCCTTCCTTCCTTCCCTCCTTCCTTTCTTCCTTCCTTCTTTTTTTCACCAGAGGGGGACAGAGTGAGAGAGAGATGGGAGGAGGGTGGATAAAGCAAGAAACTTAGCTGCCAGATCCAGGACTCATACCATAGTCAGCCATGAAAGTGAAGCAAAGAGCACATGGTTATTGCTTAAGGAAATGCTTTGCAAAAATCTTTTTATAATTTCTGTTAGTCATAGTGACTATTAGTGTCATATGGTAATAATTTCCCATTCTAAAATTCTAGGCATTGGATGAATCTTAATATTGACTTTATAGTTATTTGGTAGTTTCTTAATTGGTTTTAGATAGAAGACACTGAGCTTTTTTTTTTTGTAGACAGAGAGAATGGAGTTAGTAGAGGGAAAATTTTTTAATTTTCTAGGAGCTTAGAATGACTGCCATTGCAGTTTACTTGGTATCACAACAGTTTCCATGAGGAGAGTACTATTATTTTCCTTGTACTATGAGAAACCAGTCTCAGAGAGACTTGTTTAGAAGAACAGCCTTAAAATTGCTTCCAGAAAATTGTCCCTCTACTTATATGAGTAAGAAAAGTGAATCTAGTGTAGGATTCTTTTTTTTGTTACAGTATCTTGCCTAAAATTTCACCAGATTAATCCATCTGTTCTATGGCTTTGTTTGCTAAAATAAAAATAATAACAAACGTGCTTAACACAATTAGTCAGGGACCTTTTCAGTTTTCATTAAAAAAAAAAACTAATGAGAAAGTTCAGAACATTTAGAATATTTGGGGGTTTTGTATTGTTTGCTATAACGTTATAAAAGCTAACGATCATTTTCTAACAAGTTTCCTTCCTCAATCTTTCCTTTCATCTCACAACAGCTGCAGGGAAGTCAACATTTGTGAACATCCTTAAACAAGTCTGTGAAGATTGGGAAGTTGTCCCTGAACCTGTCGCCAGGTGGTGCAATGTTCAAAGTACTCAAAATGAATTTGAGGTATAAAAGTAAAATTTTAGTAAATTAAGTTTATCTGTATTTATTCATTTCATGCCTTTGGTTTTTGAGTGCTTTCCAGTTTAGTTGCTCTTATAAACAATATTGCTGTGAACATGAATTTTGATGTATACCTACAAGAGTTTCCTCCAGAATAAGAAGTAAAATTACTAGCTGGTAGGGTATACTTATAACTCTTTTCTAAAGTGTTTTACCAGTTTTTTTTTTTAATGTTTTTCTTAACTTATTAAATCTTACCAGCATTGTCCCTGAAAAGGGACTAACACACAAACAGGTAGACTAAACGAAGAAATATTTTTATAAGAGTTAAGCCATTAAGATACTTCCTGGTGTTATCTTCAGTGATGCCTTTTTTTTTTGGAGAGGTTTTTGCTATAGGGCACGTATGCTCGCCAGAAAGACAGAGAGGGGCAGGGAGACAGAAAGTGAGAAATCACCCCCTAGTGGGGATGGCTACGCTGCAATCCCTTCTCCACTCTCCTCTGGGGATCTTGGGCGCACACACACATGCGCCTGGCGTGAGTTTACACTGGTCCAGGACTCGAACTACTACATGGGAGTTCAGTGACATAGCCGTTACGCTAACTGCTGGTCCCTTTAGTGATGCTTTTTATCTTTATTCTGGGATTCTAGAAAGTGTTCAGCCCCTACAATTTCCACAAATGCAGCACATTTCCACTTGTGTCCTTTTAATAATGCACCAGTGAAGGAAGGAAACATTGCAAAGCCACCCATGTATCTCCAAGCTTCATTCCTGCCCATTAATCTCTTAGTCCTCATGCAGCCAGCTTCTCCTCGACAGTTTTTGCTTTTACAGAATTATTTTATTGAACTTTATGTATTTACTTATTTTAATTTGACCAGAGAGGGACAGAGTTAGAGACAAAGAGAAAGAAAGTGAGGAAGCAAGCTGCCGCGTCTGGGACTCAAACTGCAGTCCATTGCCCCCAACCACCACACCACCTACCGGCCCCCTCCTGGACATTTTCTAATGGTGTTCCTTCTATCTTCCATTGTTTATAATCTGGAAGTTCCATTTGACCATGACCACGTTTATGTTCATGGGCTATGACTGACGACAATCTGACCTCTCAAGACACTCCAACCAGAGCCGACTGGAAACCATGTTTTACTGGTTTTCACTCCCATAATGTAATCAAGCCCTTGTTCTTCCATGTCTTTGCTAGCCTTTAGTATTATCCAGCTTGCTAGTTTTTGTCGTTGTGCTGAGTGTTTGCTATTTTATGTTTTTTGTTTGTTTGTTTGCAGTTGGGCACGTGCTGGCTGGAAAGAAGTTGGAGGGAGGGAATGAGAAAGCACGCCATAGGGAGATGGCCATCCCGCATTCCCTTTTCCTCTATTCTCCTCTTGGGATTTTTGGGTACTCATACATACAATGTGTGGTGTGTTTTTCAAGCTACCAGGTCCAGGACTTGAACCACTCAGTCAGCCATATGGGATCCATACACCTTAACCACCACTCCACCCACTGGCCTGTCTTATGTTCTTAGTCCATATTTGCCTGGTTACTAATGAAATTGTTCCTTTTCATATGCTTATTGGTCATGTGAATTTTTTTTTTTTTTTAGGTTTTTCTCATAGGGCTCATCGTGCACTCACCAGGGATAATTCCTTCTGCTCCATTCCAATCCCTTCTCCGTTCTTCACTTGGGATTTTGGATGTGTATACACACATGCCCAGCATGATTTTCAAGCCACCAGTTCTTGGACTTGAACCATGGTTGGCCATGTGGAATACTAGTACCTTAACCACCATGCAACCTGCCGGCCCCACCATTTTCTAAAAATAATTATTTTATTTAACTTTTTTAAATTTATTTACTTGTTTTTCTAATTTGACCAGAGAGGGACAGAGAGAGAGAGATAATGCAAGCTGACAGTTTTGGGACTTGAACCACAGTCAGCCATGTGGGAACCCAGCGCCCTTAACCACCACGCCACCTGCTAGCCCCAGCCCCATCCATTTGAATTTATGTTGTTCCATGTCTATCCAGGTCCTTTTGCCCATTTTCCTTTGGGTCATCTGTCCTTCACTCAGCATTTTTACCTCTTAACATATGTCTAGTGGCCTTTGACTTTTAAGTCAAAAGGCCTTTTGACTGGTTCTTGGAAGTGCGTAGTCATATTTGCTTACTTTTTGAAATTACCTTCTAGAAACATTTCTCTTTCTCATTTCTGGGTTCACTGTCAGTGCAGATATTCACAGATATTAGGTTAAAAAAAAAACAAACAAAAGTAGATTAAACCACTGTGAGAAATAAAGGGAAGATTCTTTCATTGTGTGTTAGACTTGATTAGACTAGGTTTTCCATTTAAAATCCATTTCAGTTTTAGTATCATAGGCTTCTAATTCATACTAAGTGTGAATAACTGGTTCAGTGACACATTTGTCATTTACTCTGCATGTCTCACATGCACAAGGACTTCGGTAGAAAAATGTAATCATCAGGAGTCATTGAATTAGGGCCAACGGGTGGTGTGGTGTTGAAGGCGCTCGGCTCCCACAAGGGAGACTATGACACGTTGATGTTTCTGTCTTCATTTATGGGATCATAAATCTGATACTCATTTTGACAGGCTGGGACATTGTCTTTTCAGCTACCAAAATCAGAATGGCAAACTGGCCTTTCTTTATAACTAGCATGCAGATAATCCTATTATTATTTTTATTTATTTATGTAAAAGATTTATTTAGTTTTATTTTTTATTATTTTTAATTTGACCAGAGAGAGACTTGAACTGTGGTTGGCCATATGGGAGTCCAGCACTATGCCAGGCCTCATTACTTTTTAATTTGCCTAAGGACGTGTGCTTGTAGGAGGGAGAGAGAGAGAAAAAAGGCAAGAAAACATCCCCCCATGAGACTTGGTCACTCAGTCTCTTCTCATCCATCTCTCCCCCCATTTGGGATTTTGGACATTCAAGCACACTGGTATGTGTCTCAAACCACTGAGTCTAAGACTTGAACCATGTAGTCAGCCATTTAGAAACCAGCTGCCTTAACCACCAGGCCATTGGCTGGTCCCTTCCTAGATTTTTTTTTTTTTTTTTTGAGAGAGAGATTTTGCTGTAAGGCATATGTGCTTACTGGAGAGATAGAGAGATTGAAAGCAAGAAATCACTCCCCAGGGGCAATGGCCATGCCACAACCCTTCTCCATTTTTCTCTTGGGATTTTGGGCACATATGCACACAGGCCAAGCGTGACTCTCAAGCCACTGGATCTGGAACTCAAACTGGGTCTGTCATGTGGGAGTCCAGTGCCTTAGCCACTATACCACCTGCTGGACCTCAATACTATTTTTTAACATAGCTTTTTATAATGCAGTTTGCTATAATCCAGTCATGTCTCCATGATGTTATAATAAAATATAACATAGAACTCTTTTCCTTTCTTTTTTTTAAAGAAAGGAAAAGAGTATGGTAAAGGGAGCAATAGAGGTATGTATATATGTATGTATGTATTTTAACATTGTCTTACTGTGTTACAGTCCTCTTGTCCAAGCCTCCCAATTACTTAGGATTATGGACACGAGCAATTACATTTAGCAGGTTAAGGTTGACCCAGGAATTGAACCTGGGCCTTTCATGTGACTTCTAGCCCCCAAGTAGTAGTGGTACTATCTATGCACCTTCGTAGCTGAGCTCATGAGGTTACAATTTGGTTACCGTTGGTGGATTCTGATGCACTTTCTTGGAGGGTAGCTTTAGTTTTTGTATTGAGGGTTATTATGTTCTCAGTCCTCTGTACTACCAGACATATTGATAGTTTTAGGCAGTGTGGAGATAGTAACTTTAGGATAAGGTTATGGATTGTGAGAGGTGGGCAGCTTCCCTGTATCTTTGGATATTTTCTTCTTTTTTCTAGACTGTCACTAAACTTAAGTAGGATTTTCTTCCTTCATCCTGGAATACTTTTTCTTTAGACCCATTCCTAATCTATTCTTTGGGGATTACAGAATGAATCATCTGCTATATAGATCTTAGTTTTCAATTCTTTTCCTTCTTTCTCTCTCTCCCTCCCTTCCTTCCTTCCTTCCTTCCTTCCTTCCTTCCTTCCTTTCTTTCTTTCTTTCTTTCTTTCTTTCTTTCTTTCTTTCTTTCTTTCTTTCTTTCTTTCTTTCTTTCTTTCTTTCTTTTGCCATAGGGCACATGCACTTGCTGGAGAGAGATAGGGAGAGGGAAATTGAGAAATCACTCCTCAGGGAGATGGCCATGTCGACATCCCCTCCTGGGATCTTGGGCACACGTGCACATGCACGTAGCATGAATTTCAAGTCACCAAGTCTGGGATACAAACCGTAATTGGCCTTGTGGGAATCCAGCATCCTAATCACCACACCACCACCTGCTGGCCCCAGATCTTAGTTTTCTTAGGATGCTGTCAACTGTGATAAGTGGACTGTTTTTTAGACTGAATCCTGGCAAGGCTGGTTCTATTTCATGTTATCTGCTTGGTCATACTAATTGGCAAATATAGAATTGGAAGAGTTGGACAATTAAACTTGTGATTTCTTCCCTTGGTAACTAAATGTACACCTGAATACTTAACTTATTTTTAGCTTTTATTTATTTTTTTAACCTGCCATCTAGTGGCTGAAATGTTGCTATACTATTGTTAAGCTACCACTCATTTTGGCAAGTATCTAAAATGCTTATGTAGTGTCCTTTCCTTTCCATTCCCTCCTTTGGAAAAATGATCTTTAAAACACATACCCAGGTAATTATCAGACTTTTATATAGAAGATCTATTTCTAATAGTGATAATGTCCTTTATTTGGCAATTTATGTTTTGTTTGTTTGTTTGTTTGTTTTTGAGACATTTTTACTATAGGGTGCGTGTGCTCGCCAGAAAGACAGAGAGAAAGACAGAAGGTGAGAAATCCTCCCAGGGGGGATGGCCACAACTCAGTACCTTCTCCATTTTCCTCCCAGGATCCTGGGCACGCACACACATGCACTCAGTGTGAGTTTAAGCCACTACTGGGTCCAGGACTTGAACTGCAGTCGACTACATGGGAGTCCAGTGACATAGCCATTATGCCATCTGCTGGTCCCAGAAATTTATGTTATTAATTAGGTGTAGATTTTTTTTGAGATATGTAGTTAGAAAAATAGTTCTGTCCTTTTTTTTTCCCCCTATTTTATTTAACTTTACTTATTTATTTAAATTTGACCAGAGAGAGAGACAGGGCGAAAAAGAGAGAGAGGGAAAGTGAGAAATCAAGCCACAAGGTCCGGGCCTCAAACCACAGTTGGCCATGTGGGAGTCCAGCGCCCTCAACCACTATGCCATCTGCCAACCCCCTTCTGTCCTTTTTTTAAATCATCAAGATAGATTCTCTTGGGAGAATCATTGTTATGAATTGTTAAGTGCTATTTTACCTTTTTTTCTAACTTAAAGACATTTTTTAAAAATTTAAAGGTTTTTGGGCCAGTAGGTGGTGTGGAAGCTAAGGCACTGGATCCCACACTGCCAGCTGTGCAGTTTGAGTTCCAGATATTTTGAATATACGTTGTGGTATAGCTATGACATGCCAGTTAACATATGCATTAACCTTTTTTTCTTCAAGTTTGTTTCATGGGACAGAGAGAAAGAGGAGAACCTTCGACAGGCTCTCACATTGCAGTCCTTATCCAGCCTTTCCTGCCAACCAGGATCGTGGGCACATGTACCCATACTGTGCAGGTCACCCTGGAATTAAACCCCCGTCTTCCCTATGGCCTCTGGCATTGTAAAGCATTACCCTACTGTTCACTGCTGTGGCCACCTGTACTATTTTACTCTTCTAACATTTACTACTAAGAGGCCACTGAAAAGTTACAGCTGTGAGAAAAAAGGTATAGATAGGCTTGTCTGTGAAACAGCATATATTTTATTTTTATAAGTCATCCTCAAAAATAGGTAGGAATATCTGATAAAGTACTTCTATTTGTATCTTCTGAAGTCACCTGATAATTTTTGTTGGCTATTTTATAATATCTTGTTTGATAGACTCTGATCTGTTTCATCTGAACTTCATTCAACTCTTCTGCAATGTTTATAAAGGTTAGACTTAGAATGAAAAGAGAAATGATTTTATACCCTCATTTAATAGTTTTAATTTTTATGTATTGTAATAACCTATGCTTCCTGTAAAAAAGTTTCTATCATAAAGGGACAATGGATATTATAGAGAACAGAATAAAAATTATCCACAATCCTGCCATTCTCTATGTATCATTTATATAGCTGAGATAATATTCATTATATCCAATTTTGTTGAGTAGATAAATAATTTAAAAATACCATAAGATAATACCTGTTTACTTTTTGTTTTAGAGATTTTTTGCTATAGGGCGTGTATGCTCACCAGAGAGACAGAAAGTGAGATATCACCCCCCAGGAGGAGGAATGGCCATGCCGCAATCCCATCTCCACTTGGGATTTTGGGCACACGTGTATACATTGCCTGGCATGAATTTGAAGCTGGCAGGTCCAGGACTCGAACTGCAGTTGATTACATGGGAGTCCAGTGACATAAGCATTACACCATCTGCTGATCCCATCTGTTCACTGTTTGAAGTTAAGAAAACAGATTTTCCAGAGAGGGGAATAAAACTTACCTATAACTTAATTACCCAGAGATAACTACAGTTGCCATTTGATACAACAGTAAACAGATTTGTACTGTGCCCACCCCTTTATAATATTCATGTCATGGCAACTTGAAATGTCATTATGAATTTACTGTAAATGTGGGCCAGCAGTTAGCATAATGGCTATATTGCTGGACTCTCATGTAGTCGACCGTGGTTTGAGTCCTAGAACTGGTGGCTTAAATTCATGCTGGGCGTGTGTGCATGCGTGCCCAAGATCACTAGAGGAGAAGGGATTGTGGTGTGGCAATCTCCCCTGGGGGGTGATTTCCCACCCTATAGCAGAACATTTCTTAAAAAAAAAAAAGAATTTACTGTAAATGATTTAATATAAATGGCTAATAATATTGACATTAGTATTATGATAATCATCTTTGTAATTATTTGTATCCTAGCATATTTTTTAAAAATAAATTTTCAAAAGTGAAATTCATTGAAACAAAAGATACATATTTTTTTTTTTTTTAAATATAGCTACTGCTTTCTAGAAATGTTCTGCTAATTTTTACTTAATGTAGTTTGGCTCTAAGGCATTTTCATTTTTTGTCTGGGTTTTTTTGTTTTTTTTTTTCTTTTTTTTTGGGAGAGGTTTTTGCTATAGGGCGCATGCGCTCGCCAGACAGACAGAGAGAGACAGAGAGACAGAAAGCAAGAAATTACCCCCCCAGGGGGGATGGCCATGCTGCAATTCCTTCTCCATTCTCCTCTTGGGATCTTGGGCATGCACGCACACGCGCCCGGTGTGAGTTTAAGCCGCCGGGTCTGGGACTCGAACCGCGGTAAACTATGTGGGAGTCCAGCGACATAGCCATTATGCTAACTGCTGGTCCCTTGTCTGGGTTTTTTTAATGGGGAAATAAATTTAACACTCAATTTGGTAAAGATGGTGAACAGTATTTTTTTGGATAAAGTTCTAATATGTATTTTATTTACATTCATAATTTCATACAAAAAATAGCTGTCTGGCTCAAGTTTCATGCACAGTATCAAAAAGAGCCATTTTGTATAGACTCCTCAAAGCCATAAAATTTTAGTATAGTTTTTTTTTTTCCCAGTGCTGCACAATTATCTGCACCCCTGTTACAGATTTTTTATTTGGTTTTAATTTATGCATTTATATATTTAGAAGTAGGTGACAGTTATTTTTATAATTAAGTGATGAGTCAGAATTGTTTCTCTTTTAATTTAGTAGATGTTGTAATCACTTTGGCAAGAGAATACATTTACTGGGAAATTTAAATAAAAGGTGAGGAATAAACTTTGGATTAATTTTTTGTGTGTGGTAAACATAAAGTTGACTATCTTAGCCATTTTTAAGTGCACAGTTCAGTCACTACTGAGCTGTAATTATAGTTACATAGTTGGGAAACAGATTTCTAGGACCTTTGCATCTTGTGGGGCTAAAACTCTATACCTATTAAACAACTCCTTTTTGCCCCTTACCCAGTCCCTGTTAACCACCATTCTACTTGCGGTATCTGTGACTCTGACTGCTTCAGCTACTTCATATAATTGGAATCATAGAATTTGTTCTTTCATGACTGGCTTATCTCATTTAGCATAATGTTTTTAAAATTCATCTATGTTGTAGCATGCAATGTCACTTTCTTTTCAAATAAATGTATTATCTTTTAAAAAATACAAATGCTGGGTCCTGCAGGTGGTATGGGGTGATTAAGACACTGAACTCCTACATGGTTGACTGTGCGGTTCAAGTCTCAGACTTGGCAGCTTGAAAATCATCCCAGGTGCATGTATGTACATTCCCAAAATCCCAAAAGAGAACAGAGGAGAAGGGCGTGAGGCAGGACCATTCCCCTAGGTGGTGATTTCTCATTTGTTCTCTCAGTGTCTCTCTTTGTCAAGCACATGCGTCCTATGGCAAAAACCAGAAAGAAAAGAAAAGAAAAGAAAAAAAGACATAAATCTACATATTTTGTGTGAAATTATTTAGCTTCTAATTGTTGACAACTATTGGGCTTTCGGGAAAGTCACCACTCATTTTGTATGGTTTTGTATAGAAAACCATAGGAAAAGGGGCGAGTAGGTGGTGTGGTGGTTAAGGGACTGAACTCCTACATGGCTGATGGCAGTTCAAGTCTCGGACCTGGTGGCTTGCTTTCTCACTATCCCCCCGCCCCATCCTTCTCTGGTTAAATTAAAATAAATAAAGTCAAATAAAGTAATTCTTTAGGAAAAAAAAAACATAGGAAAATACATCATGACTTCTCTGACAACCTAATAATTGGCATTTTGTCAAAGTCCTATTTGGGTCAGATAGATAATTAGACAGATCATTAGTTCATGACCTCTTATGTGAAAGAGCTAAGGATTATTCTATACCTCAGGCAATCTGAAAAGTACAATGGGGAAGTGTAGGAGAAAGAGGACTTAATCATCTTGGTTTTGCTAATCATGGTGCACTTATTTGTCCAAGTGCATTTTTGAGCCTTCTAAAAAATTAAAAGTTTCATTAATCATTAACTTTACTTTTTGTTTCTTTTTTTCAAATTTAAAATAGGAACTGACAACATCTCAGAAAAGTGGCGGAAATGTTCTTCAGATGATGTATGAGAAACCTGAGCGGTGGTCTTTCACCTTCCAGTCATATGCCTGTCTCAGTCGGATACGAGCTCAGCTTGCCTCTCTTAACGGCAAGCTCAAGGATGCAGAGAAACCTGTATTATTTTTCGAAAGATCTGTGTATAGTGACAGGTATATATAAATGTTTGTATGTGGCTGTTTGGAGTCTTGGTGTCAAACTAACCTTTTTTCCCTCTGTTTCCTGGGTATCAAAGTAATTAAGAGGCTGAGTTGGCAATTTGAGATGGGAAATGACAGTACCATCAGCAGTCTGATTATAGAGATATTAGAAAAGTTCTAGCATTTATTATCGCTGGCTTCCATGGAAACTGTTGGGAATATGGTGGCCATCTCATTTAAATTTGCAGAGAGGGTTGTTTTTTTTTTTTTTTTTTTTTGTCTCAAACTCTTTCAAAATTCTCATCTTCTCAGCATAAACGGGTGATCATATTGGGGTTCATGGCAGCGGCAGCAGCCCGCTCGGTCGCTCCCAGTTGGCTCTGCTCCACCTCCCGTTCCAAGATGGTAGCTGCTCCGCCCCAGAGGCCCCACCCCATCACAGCACATTTTGAGGTCCACTGGCCACGAGCATTATTTCCTAAAGTTGGAGAGACTCTTGATTTTTCCTGCTATCCAAGGGACCATCTGCCACAGGATTTAGGAGATTGCCCATGTCCATTTTCTCTTTTCTATTTCCTTGTGGGTTTTTTTTTTAAATGATAGATTTGTTGATGAAGGTTGTTTTTTCAGGTATATCTTTGCATCTAATTTGTATGAATCTGACTGCATGAATGAGACAGAGTGGACAATTTATCAAGACTGGCACGACTGGATGAATAACCAGTTTGGCCAAAGTCTTGAATTGGATGGAATCATTTATCTTCGAGCTACTCCAGAGGTGAGACCCAATAAAAATTTGTTTTCTCCACTGAAAATTTAAAGTAATAGTTACAAATCATTTCAGTGGTATTTATTGAAGGCAATTTAGTTTAACTCCACTTCCACCCTCCAGCTCCCCATCACCAAATTAGGAAGTCATACCTGCGTAGGTGCAAACATTCTGTTTTCTCAGCAAACCAGAAACCAGGCTTGGCAAATTGCTCTTTTTGACCCTTCTCTCTTCTACTTTTCTTCATTATTACTTTGCATGTTCTCTCTTCTTTCACAGCTAGAGTAAGGAACTTAGTGAGGCAACTCGTAATATATAGGCCTCCTGGATTGGGAACACGGTCTGGGCACATAGTAGAAACTCAGTAAATGTTTACTGAATGAAGGGCAAAGTCGATGCAGGTCAGTTCAAGAAATCTTTTATGGTTGTTTGTGGCTTGGAACTAGTGGATAGTGGGTGGCAGCTACAGATCAGAAGAGAGTTAGAGAACCCTTGCCATTTTCAGTTATGGAAGATCACTTGAAAATGCAGACATCTTTCAGAAAAATAGCCTAACTAGTAACATCTTACATTTAATAAGCTTTTTGGTTTTTATACTTGCATTCTCATCGTTTCTCTGCATTTTTATCTTATTTTTTCTTAAGTCATAAGGTAGGCTCTGGTGACTATAAATGTTATAGTTTCTAGCCTGAAATTAGAGGACTTTGTTGCTATTTATTAAAGCTAAATATTCAAAGAAATTAGGTTTCTTAGTCCAGTAGGTATTTTTGTTTCTCTAATATCAAATAACCCAGAGTTTAGCAGTAACAATAATTTTATAATTCACTATTATTTGGAAAGGAATTTTTTTTAATAATAAAAATAGTGAATGCAGATATTAAAAAAACACTAATTTCATTCTGCTACAAACATTTATAGTCAGTATAGTCTAACACAAAATTTTATTTTATCAATATTGTTTATAATCTCTTTTGATGAAAGGATTATTGTAAAGAGAATTTGTTTTAAATTTATGTAGTTAGGCATGTGTAACTACCAGAGTCTAGGGAGAGGGAAAATGAGAAATCATCCTGCAGAGGGACTGGAAAAAAATTGCAGTCCCTTCTCCATTCCCCTCTTGGGATTTTAGGTATGCATGCACACCTGTCCAGTGTGATTTTCAAGTAGCCAGGTCTGGGACTTGAACTGCTCAATTGGCCATATGGCATCCAGCTGCCTTAATCTCTGCTTCAACTGCTGGCCCCATAAAGAGAATTTATAATTGACTTTGAAACATAGTTTATATGTTGCCATGGTCTTATGCATGTCACTTAGGTTGAAGGTTCTTATTTCTCAGGATCTTTGAACCTCCCACAAGTTATCCAAAACTTTGTGTATGTTGTAGGTTCCAGGGAAAATGATCTAGAACTGCATTGTCTAGTGTAGCTATTTAAGTTTAAGGTTATTAAAATTAAATAAAAATTTAATACTTGGTTACCACACTAGCTAGATTTTGAGTGCACATAAGCTGCAGGTGGCTAGTGGCTACTTTATTCACTAATGCAGATATAGCGGGTCCAGAAGATTGTGTAGTGTTTACTTCACTGGACTCACATAGCCAGCTGTTTAAGTCTTGGACCCAGTGGCTTGAAATTCACACTGCTTGTATGTGCATGCATGCCCAAGATCCCAAGAGGAGAATGGAGGAGAAGGGATTGGGGTGTGGCCATCCTTCTCAGGTGTAATTTCTCACTTTCTCTCTCTCTCTCTCTCTCTCTGTCTCTGTCTCTCCAGTGAGTGCATATTGCCTAAGGCAAAAACATCTAAAAAAAAATAATGCAGATGTAGGATAGGCATAAAACATTACAGAGTTCTTTTTGTATGTACTGTTCTAGAGCTTTCATCATATTAAGAATCACTGAGTGCTGGTACCAGCAGTTAGCGTAATGGCTATGTCGCTGGGCTCCCAGGTAGTCCACCGCGGTTCGAGTCCCGGACCCGGTGGCTTAAACTCATGCCAGGCACGTGTGCTTTATAGGTTCATTTTGACTTATTTGTTAAAGAACTGCTTCATTGAGAGTCACCAAATGGCTGATAAGTACATGAAAGGAAAAATGAACTATTTAAACTTCCTATAAATAGTCAATAGAGATTTTGACTACAATAACCAAAGAGATGCTAGAAAAGAAAATGTTGGTGGGAACAGCCAAGAATAATTGTTTCCTACCTTTTTTCCCTTCTCTTATTGCTTGAGTTCAGAAGTGCTTAAATAGAATATATTTACGAGGAAGAAACGAAGAACAAGGCATTCCTCTTGAATATTTAGAGAAGCTTCACTATAAACATGAGAGCTGGCTCCTGCATAGAACTCTGAAGTAAGACTTCCTTATTCTTACTTACTATTCTTTTTTTTTTTTTTTTTTTGAGAGGTTTTTGCTATAGGGCGCGTGTGCTCACCAGACAGACAGAGAGAGACATAGAGACAGAAAGCCAGAAATCACCCCCCAGGGGGGATGGTCACGCCGCAGTCCCTTCTCCATTCTCCTCTCGGGATCTTGGGCACGCATGCACATGCGCCTGGCGTGAGTTTTAAGCTGCCGGGTCCAGGACTTGAACCGTGGTCGACTACGTGGGAGTCCAGCAACATAGCCATTATGCTAACTGCTGGTCCTGACATTCTTATAGCTAAAATCCTCTAGTATTGACAGCATAACAAGTAATTTTACTTTAAGTGATGGATTAGGGAATATATCTATGTTAATTATTTAGGTGCTGTCTTACACAAAGAATTTTAAGATAATGAATTTCAAATTTGTTTCTTGGATCCTAATTTGGGAGATGGTACAGCATCGCTGTTGAGAGGATAGACTTTGTCATTATTCAGATCTTGGCTCAAGTCCACCCTTATTATTAGCATGTGATCTTAGTCTCTGAGCTTCAGATGATCTCTTGGAGCTATAAGTTTTTCATGTCCAAAATGGAGAAATTGCTACTTTATTGTAAGTGTTTTTTTTTTTTTTTTTAGAGATTTTCATTGTAGGGCGCGTGCACTCGCCAGACAGACAGAGAGAGAGAGAGAGACATAGAGACAGAAAGCGAGAAATCACCCCCCAGGGGGGATGGTCACGCCACAATCCCTTCTCCTCCATTCTCCTCTTGGGATCTTGGGCATGCACGCACACGCGCCCGGCGTGAGTTTTAAGCCACCGGGTCTGGGACACGAACCGCGGTCGACTATGTGGGAGTCCAGCGACATAGCCATTACGCTAACTGCTGGTTCCCTGTAAGTGTTTGTTTTTGAGGAGGATCATATATCATGATGCCTCGCTTTATATTTTATAACTGAGATTTTTAGCAATCCTTACTAAGTTTTGTTGCAAAAGAAGAGGCTGCTGGATGAAGTATTTGAAGGAAAACTTCACTGTAAAATGATGAACATCATTTTGATTTTCTAATTATACAAAAATGAGTTTTTTCTTTTTTTTTTTTTTTAAGTTTCTTTCTTTATTTCTTTTAGGAGAGAGAGACATATCCCTGACAGAATTTTGCCATGCCATGATCTTTTCCCTGGACTCCTAGTAAGGGTCACATGCAGGTATAACTGGCATGTTCAGGTCAATCCAGGGCTTGAATCTGGGCTTTCCATGTGGCTCTAGCAATGCATAGTGGCACCCTACTACCTGTGCCACCATGGCTGGTCAAGAATGATTATTCATTTATTTATTTATCTATTTATTTATTTTTTAGAGAGAGAGGTGTTTTTTTGTTTTTGTTTTTGTTTTTTGTTATAGGGTGCTTGCTGGAGAGACAGAGAAACAGAAAGCCAGAATGACCCCCCCAAGGGAATGACCATGCTGTAATCCCTTCTCCATTCTCTTGAGATTTTGGACACACACACACACACACACGTGCACCTGACATGAGTTTTAAGCCTCTGGGTCTGGGACTCAAACCACAATCAACTATGTTGGAATCCAGCGACATAACCATTATTGCCATTTGCTGGTCGCTCATGAATGAGTTTTAATGTTTCTCTTTTATTTATTGCTTTTCTGATTATTTTATTCATCTCTTTTAAACAGAACCAACTTTGATTATCTGCAAGAGGTACCTATCTTAACACTGGATGTTAATGAAGACTTTAAAGACAAACATGAAAGTCTGGTTGAAAAGGTAAATGTAAACAGAGACTATACACTTACTTCTTTTTTATCGTGACTGGAAATGTATACTCACTTGAACAAATAATTTTCTAACCATTTTGGTTAGAAAACCTGACTTTAAATTGTAACTTTGTGGTTGGAGGTGAAATAAGGATCTTTATCTTTTAGTTCCTTGATCTGTAAGATAGGGGTACTTCAAATACAAATGTTCTTTCTTACCTTCCTCTGTCCCCTTTGTCCCCTTCTCTTTTCCACAAGAACAATTTTCAGTTGTTTTCTTTTTTTTTTTTTTCTTCCTTCTTCCCTTTCTTCCTTTTCTTCTTTTTCTTCCTTTCTTTCCCAGAGACCATGTGGACTTGCAGGAGACAGTGGGTAGGGAGTGAGAAAGCAGCCCTCATGGGGAATTGTAACACTATCATCCCTTCATGTCCATTTCTCTCTTTCAGGATTTTTGAGCATGCACACACACATGACTGACATGTTTCTCAAGCCAGTGGGTCTTGGACCACATAGTCAGCCACGTGGGACCCAGCTGCTTTAACCCTCACACCATGAACTTGCCCTAGATATTTTAATAATAAACTACATGTAAAGTTCATTTACCTTTATAAACTAAGTTTAATATGAAGGATATTTGAAGTTGTAGGATATGAATCTCATCCATTTTTATAGTAGCTGAAGTGTTGTAATTAAAGGATTTTAGTTTAGCTTCTTTTGGGACCATGTCAAGGATTAATCGACATTGTCTAATCATTGAGTCTTTGTCTTAATCAGAGTTAGCTTCTTCACTCAGATAATTGGGAGTTGACCATAGTTTATTTAGTGCATGCTGCCTATATCGGTAAAGGGACTGAGAGGGAGTCTACTGATGAACATGTGAAAAAAAATAGGAGAAATTGTGAAAGAAATATTTCTTTTTTTTTTGGAGAGATTTTCACTGTAGGGCGCTCGCCAGACAGACAGAGAGAGACATAGAGACAGAAAGCGAGAAATCACCCCCCGGGGGGATGGTCACGCCGCAATCCCTTCTCCTCCATTCTCCTCTCGGGATCTTGGGCATGCACGCACACGTGCCCGGCGTGAGTTTTAAGCCACCGGGTCCGGGACACGAACGGCAGTCGACTACGTGGGAGTCCAGCGACATAGCCATTACACTAACTGCTGGTTCCCAAACAAATACTTCTATACCCATGTTCATTAGTTTAATGATCTAAAGTCTAAAGAAGAAACCCTAATTGTTTTTTATTGTTTACTTTTAGAGAATTTTTTTCTCTTATAAAATATCTGCTGTTTATTATAATAGAGACTTGACATTAATAAGGGATATATTCAAGAATTTTGAAAAAGTCAATATTTTACATAACTAATATAACTTTTTTCCATGATATAAAGTAAAGCAAATATGAATTATTCATGACCTCTTCATACTATTAGTTATATTAAAAATAAAAGATATAGGGACCAGCAGGTGGCGTGGTGGTTAAGGTGCTGGACACTCCCACATGGCCGACCATGGTTCAAATCCTGAATCTGGTGGCTTGCTTTCTCACTTCCTCTCTCTATCTCTCTTTCTCTGCCTCTCTCCGGTCAAATTAAAATAAATGAATAAATAAATAAAATTAAATAAACAATTAAAAAAAATAAAAGATAGAATTCACTTATAATACCACTAAAACTAGTAAAATTCCTAGCTGTTTTAGTACTAATAGCCAACTATCCATTATATCGAAAGGTTTTGCTGTAGGGCACGTGCGCTCTCCAGAAAGACAGAGAGACAGAAAGTAAGAAATCACTCCCCTGGGGGAGTGGTAGCCACGCCGCAATCCCTTCTCCATTCTCCTCTCGGGATCTTGGGCACGCACATACACGCACCTGGCGTGAGTTTAAGTCACCGGGTCCAGGACTTAAACAGCGGTCAGCTACATGGGAGTCTAGTGACATAGCCATTACACCAACTGCTAGTCCCGAAAACTAAAGGTATTCTTACAAGGCAACAATCTTTGTATATTCAAGGGAATTATTGTATCACCTAGGTTATATAGAGAACAAGAGCCTCCTTGTTTGGACCTGCAGGTGCCATGGTGGTTAAGGGCACTGCACTCCCACATGGTCCACCATGGTTCAAGTCCAGGACCTGGTGGCTTGCTTTCTC